GGGCTTTCCTGGAGCAACGGCACCACCGCGTGAGACCTGCCATCACGTTTTTACACGGGCCTCAGTCCACTCAGCAAGGTGCTGGGCCCTGGGAGTCACAGGTGGTGCATGCAGAGCCTGTCCTGAGGGCGTGCAGGAGCAGAGCACTGTGCCCTGACTTTGGTAGCAGCCAGAGCTCTAGCTGCCTTTCTGGAGCCCACCCCGCCTGGCCCCTGCCCTTCCGAGTTGGAGGCAAGTTGTACACTAAAGGTCACAGGCAGAGATGCCTGGCCTGCACATGGGCTCTGGTGTCTCTCTTTACTGAACGCTTTCCACCTGCCTGGACCCGTCCTTCCTGTCCTTCATAGGTTCTCTGGAAACCCAGTGCTGGGCCTCTGCCAGCAGTGCCCTACCCCGTGGCCCACCCCCACCCCAGCCACGCTGGCTCCCATCACCTCTGCTCCCAAACAGCTCCTCCCTTATCATCGTCCCATGGACAGCACTGGTCCAGGCCATCATCGTGCTCACCTGGCCCCCTCGGGCTAGCCCCCACTGGCCTCCCTGCCTCCAGTCTCAGCATTTTATCACTACCTCCCTGGCCACAGCCAGCTGACCTTCCTAAGTCAGTGCCTCCCCATGTGGTTCCCATCACACTGGAGTAACACTCGACCTCTGGCCACCACAGCTGGGCTCCTCCCGTCTCTCTCTGCCCTTCCTGCATGCACTGCACTCCTGCCTGACTGGCCTCTTGCCGACCCTCAAACCTGGCACTGTGCTCAGGAAGCCTCTGCTCTTGCTGTTCCCTGCCTACCAGGTGTAGCTCCGCCTACCAGGTGCAGCTCCGCCTACCCCGCGCAGCTCCACCTACTCCGCGCAACTCCGCCCACCCTGCGCTGCTCTGCTCTTTCTCTGGGAGCTCAGTTGCACCGTTTGCCCTTGCATCTAGCCATCATTTTCTTGAGTATTCCATTATTCTCCCACCCAGTCACTTCCTTGCTCAGTCAACAAAATGCTTCATTGGGTGTTGGTTCCCTGCCAGACGGGGAGCTTGGGGAGTAGAAATGAACGGAGGCGTGCAGTTCTGTCTTCAGGAGGTCCATAGTCATGTGGGAATGCTAGTGAACCAGGAACACTGCTGCAGACTGGTAAGGGCCAAGCTGGAGAGAGGGGCCCGGTGCAGGGGAGGTGGTGAGGAATCAGGACAGCTCCTTCTAGAAAAATGATCCCTGTCTCCAGCTTCTCTTGCCAACCAGGTTAGAGCTTCATGCGGAATGACAGGAACCCATGTCTTCCAGCTTCAAAGAATTATTTTTGTTGTCCGAGGCAGGACTAGCATATTATGGGTCAGGAATCAGCAAACCATGCCAGACGCAGACTGCTGCCTGTTCGTGTGAATACAGTGGAGTTTAAGAGGAACTCCGCCGCGCTCACTTGCTTCCCTGTTGACTGGGCTGTGTCCACGCAGAGCTGAGCATTTGGGACAGAGACTATGTGGCTCAAAGAGCCTAAAGATTTATTCTCTTGTCCTTTACAGAAAGTCTGCCGACTCCTGATACAGATGCTCAAAAAATATTGCTGGATCAAGTTAAATCAGCCCTTTGGAATCTCATGGGCTCCTGTGAGTCCACGTTTTCTGTCAGGGAAACCAAAAAGAACCAAGTACCCTAAGCTCTTTAAACACTCTTTAAACACGATGGAGGCATCGAACTAGTAGAACATGCCCCTGAAGAATCATTTATCTGGGGCTAGATGGTGGCGCAGTGGTGAAACGCGATGTCTGCAAGGCTGGCCCAGATGGGAGAGTTCTGGGTTCATGTCCAGAGGCCTCCCTGGGGGTGCCAGGCAAGTGTGTGCTCACAGTCCAAGGCTGGCTGGGGCGGGTCGTGGCCTCATGACCCTGTTGAGATGCTGGCTTGCTCTAGAGAAAATGAGTAAAACATCTTTGGGGATAAAATAATCCTATGTCCTTCTTTTGCTTAATAAAAAGTATTTATTGAGGGACCAGCAGTTAGCGCAATGGCTATGTCACTGAACTCCCATGTAGTTGACGGCGGTTTGAGTCCTGGACCTGGTGGGTTAAATTCACGCCGGGCGTGTGTGTGCGTGCGTGCCCAAGATCCCAGGAGGAGAATGGAGGAGAAGGGATTGCAGTGTGGCCATCCCCCCTGGGGGGTGATTTCTCGCTTTCTGTCTCTCTGTCTCTGTCTCTCTTTCTGGCAAATGCATGCACCCTATAGCAAAAACCTCTCAAAAAAAAAAGTATTTATTGAGCACCTACTGTACATATTCCAGGAACGGTTTTAGGCACAGCGGTGAATGAGACAGGTCACTTGTCCCGAGGCACTTCTGCCTAGCTGATAAAATACTACTTTCTGTGTTCGACTAGGTGAGACCTGCCCCCAGGAGTGTGGCTCCCCACGTGGGGTTCAGCTCGCTCACCCCTTCCATCTGTCGGGCTGTTGGAAAAGTCATGACTTGTTTTCTGTTTTTCTGTGTAAAAATGCGGAATGACTTTCCAGCAAACCAGTACATCCACCCTCATCTCTGCTTTGTGGCATCTCCCAAGTTGAGCTGTTTCCCTCAGAGGCCTCCCAGCCAGGCCGTTGGGCTCCCTAGCCCTGAGCGCGGGGTGTAGCATCTAGAAGGTGCTCAGTCCACGTGCACTGCACTGCCAGCCTCCGACAGCCTTAACACCAGGCTTGGCAAGAGCCCTAGACACGGGACCTGGGAGACAGCCACACGTCCCTTTAGCGATCCGTTCAAGAGCAATGTCATGAGGGAACTCCTAAGAGGAAATGATCAGCCTCGTATGATAGTTTCCTTAAAAAAATGAATCTATAATTGCATTGTATTCTTTCCTCTCTTCCCAGCTGCCCGGCTGACTTCATGTTCCACGGGCTTTTCAACAAGACTAGATACCAGGCTGACCTGAGAGCTGGGTTTGATGTGAGGAGTAATTATTGAAAGAGACAGGGGCGATCCATATAATAAAATACCTCTTACATTTTTCATCAAAGTGATCTGAGGGTGAGGCCAAGCACTCTGCTGTGGGGGAGGAGGGTGGAGGGGCCCCTAGGAGCTGAAGGGGGATGCTTCAGGGAGGAAAGCAAACCTTGCCTGGAAGAGCAGGTCTGAGAGCCTTCAGCTTTGCTGTTCTGGGCGTCAAGGACTCTCAGCCCCTCTCGGGGAAATCCCTTTCTCGGGGAACTGGTAGCCTTGTTGGTTTTTGCTGATGCTTGAGAATTTTCCTTGGGGCTTCAAAATGCTTTCTCTTGATAATATGTCTCAGGTGGATTTAAGATCACAGCTGTTACATCAGATTTAACTTTGACTTGGCTTGTGGGGGAAGGAAAAAAAAAATCATGCTTTTTTTCTTTTCTCTGGCAGAAGTTCCAAACTGGCACTGCCTGATGAGTTTCTTCATTGAGTTGTTCAAAGAATACTTGCTTCATGTCAGGCACTGGGCTGGGACTGACATGGTGAACAGGATGGGAAGGGTCCCTGTCCTAGTAGAGTTGGGAGATAGTCACTCAAATATACAGAGACCCCACAGCATGATAAAGTGTTCCAGGAACCCATGCAAGAAGCAGGGAGGACTTCTTGGAGGAGGTGCTATTTCACCTAAGACCTAGAAGGTAACTAGGAGTTTGCCAAAGATAGGAAGGAAGGGTGCTGGAGGCAGAGGGAGCAGCATGCAGGAAGGGTTGCCCTACAGAAAGAGAGGTTCGGTTATTTTCTTCCCTGCTCTGTGATGCATGGGGTCTCTCGATAGCTCTGGTTGGAAGCTCTCTGAAGGATGAAAAGGCACACCCATAGCCAGGAGGGAAATGAAGAAAGCATATGCACTCACGGAGGAAATATTCTGCTGTGTCAGCTTCGTAATCTGCATCCTCAGGGAAGTGATCGATTTGCTTGCACAGACCTTTGAAGTTCCCTGCAAAACAAGGGGAGAAGGAACGTGTGAGACATCGCGGTTTCCAGGGTCTCAGGTCTCACCTGCCTCTTTCTGACTCTTCACTCTCTGAAGCTCACTCAGTCCTCTTTTCACCCCTGAAGGAAGGCATCGCTCTGTCTCTTTGGACATCTGCCTGGTGAATCAAAACACACACACACACACACACACACACACACACACCACACTCGCAGCACTGCAGAGAGGATCTAAAGCCTAAGACTTCAAAACCCTGCCTTCCATGCCTGCATCGAGGCTTCTGAGGATTAGCTGCCGTTTCGCAGCCATGGGGGTTTGATTCTGGGCAGGGGACTGGCACCGAGAAGGCTCATGAACGCTCTGTCTGTGCCCCAGCTCACCTGGCAGTCATCTTGCATTTCGCACGTGACAAGGCAGCAGATTGATTTCTAAAGACAGCAGACCCCAGGCTGAGGCCCACAGACATTCCCGCCGTCTGCAAAGGGGAGCCCGCAAAACATTTTCCCACCTGCAGTTGCGTGGGATTCGCTGTCCCCAGCCCCCAGCAGCTCTGAAATGTTATGGCAGGGTTGGGGGTGGGCTGGTACTTGCTGTAGCTTTACCACAGGCTTGGGACAGGAGTATTGTCACCCCATTTTACAGATGAAGAAACTGAGCCCAGAAAGACGAAGTGATCTGAATGAGTATTTATAGCTGGAAACTATAAAATTGCAACAAAAGCCTTTAGATTCCAAATGTGTCCTGAGTGCTGAAAAGGTGAGAACCAGCCCAGATGAGTGCCCTAACACTGTCACATAAGCCCTGGCCAGCGTTCACGGAGCGCGTGAGTGAAGTACTGAAGGCAACCTTCCTAAAACCAGTGGGTAAGAAGAGTTTATCACCACCAGAGGGGCTGCTTGTGATGGCAGAGACTTCTGTCTGTTTCATTTGCCATCACGGCCCAACACCAACACAGGCACCACGAGTGTGTGTGGACTTTCTCTGAAAGGAAAGAGTCGAACCCGCACTGGGGAGTGTGCCGCTGTGGGCAGGATGCGGGCTCTGCGGCCAGGCTGCCAGGGCCCGCTCAACCTCAGTGAGTTGACTCAGTTTCCTCACCTGAAAAGCGGAAAGATGAGAAGCCTTCCGTCGCAGATTGTCGTGGAGACGGACTGAGTGGATTTGGGGCACTGAGGGGGGAGGTGGATGTGCTTTGACTATGCTCAGCGGCTGACATGGACTTTTCTGGGACGGGAGCTAGTATTCCGTCATTAGTATAGCCCTCAGCACATGTTAGCAACCGAGCTTTCTCCACAGTCCTGAGCGTCCATATCTCATAAAGTAGGGGCAGGCTTCGTCGTGCACTGTGCACGTTAGTAATGTGAAGGCCTGGCGCAGAGACCCGTATCTATGTATCTTCTATATAGCTAGCTACGTAGATAGCTCGATGTGCCATACAGGTACACTTCGCTGTTACATATGCATTTATTATTACTTCTTGAATTTACGAGCGGGTACATCTACTCACCAGAGAGAGACAGAAAGGGAGAGTGAGACAGCACCCCTCGTGAGGGATGGCCATGCAGCAACCCCTCCTCCCCTCTCTTTCCAGCTGGAATTTTGGGCATGCACATAGACACGTGCATCTGGTGTGTTTTTTACGCCACTGGGTCCTGGACTCAAGGGCATGCACATAGACACGTGCATCTGGTGTGGTTTTTACGCCACTGGATCCAGGACTCAGATTGTGAGTGGGCCATGTAGGATCCAGTCACCTTAACCACTATGACACTGGCTGGCCCACTACTATATATACATTTAAATATTTTAAGTATTTCTCCTGTTTGATTACCAGAAGGTGTGTGTACTCACCAGAGGGAGACAGAGGTACAGAGAGAGAGAAAGAGAAAGAGGGAGGGAGGAGGAAAACACCACAAACACAAAAGCAAATGGGGCATGGTCATGTCTCAATCCCTTCCCCGTTTCTCCATCCTATTGGGATTTGGGGCATGCACGTACATAGGCCTGGCCTCTTTTTTCAAAGTATTGGGACTGGGATTTGAACCATAGTCAACCATGTGGGATCTGGCTTCCTTAACTATGAGGCTACAGAGCCAGCCTAGGATTTTTGGTGTTTTAAGCTATTATTATATGCTACATAGTAGAGAGAAGATGATTGAGTCGCTTGCCTCCCATTCAAACATGAGCTGTCCCTCGTACCAATCCACTAACTTTCCCGACTTGTGTGAGAAAAATAATTCCCCAGAGCATACTGGGGCTTCGGGTAACTTCACTGAAGCTTTCTGGGGTAGTTTGAAATGGCCCCATTGGGCAGGTTCTTCTGTTTGGGGCCTGCCTCATCTTGCTCACCCCATGCTGTTGCCTTCTCTAGTGCTCCAAGCGTGGCTCCCCTCTGCCCTGGTGTATCCTGTTGCATTGACTGGGGGCTTCCTCTTCCCTGCAGTAGATTAGTTCCTCATCCAGCCACACACCCTTCTCTCCCTTCTCCATGAGGAAAGTCTCTATTCCAGCTGCTAAGAGGATAAAAAATTCTGCCTATTGTTAAAATTACAAATCAGTGTATTTGAAAAGCACTTTGCAAAGCACTTTCATTTTCTTTCAATTCAATCTGACAAATATTTCGGCAACTCGGTGCCAGGCGTCTTTATAAGGAATCCGTGCAGGAGGCTCAGCTGGGAGAGCAGTTCTGACGTGCCCCGAGGCTCCTAACAAATTGGGGACAGAACTCAACCCAAGGGCTTCTAGTTGGTGCCTCCTGTCTTTCTTTATCCCCGTGGGCCACACCCACACCTGCTCCCCACCCCGGCCTGTGTCTCACTTATCCTTGAACCTAGCGCTGTGCCTGGCATAGGAGAAGGGCTCATTCTTGGCATGGAAAAGCTGTGCCAAGTGACCAGCAGCCCAGGCATCTCTGAGCCCAGCCCTGGGTGTTTGGCTACCTGTTTGATGTCTCCAGGGGTGGAGGGAAAGGCCTGGATCTGAGCTCTCGATCTCTGCCTCAGCCTGGTGATCTGGAGGCCTGACTAGCCCGGCCGATGCCTCCCATGGCTCCCAGATGCAAGCCTGAGCCCCGTTCCCACTGCTGACACCGCTCCGTCCTCACTGTAGGTTTCACTCAGCACAACATCCAGCCTGCATCAGGTCCTCAGCGTCTCCCAAGCTGTACCACCCACACCAGGCCACCGTCCTGCTCTCCTGGGTGCAGCCGTCGCCTCTCTGCCCTTCATTTTGCACCTGCTCTCCTCCCTCTCTGCAGAGTGATTGTGACAATCCTTTGATAATGCAAATCTGATGTGCCACCTCCAGCACTTCCTCAGCTTCCCCATACTCCGGAGGAAAAGCGCAACATCGTCTGCGGGGCCTGACTGCCCACTGGTCCTTGGTCTCACCTCCTGCCCTTCTCCTTCCTCTCTGCACATCTCGGCCTTCTTTCTGCCCTGCTCCCTCTTACCTCAGGACTTGGCGCCTGTGTTCTTGCTCTCTGAGCCCCCACCACATGCTCTTTTTGTCTCCTTACCCAACCTCCGTCTACACTAGCCCACCACTCTGTGTTGATGGGAGACGCTATGGTGTGTGTGATGCCAGTGGGAGTGTTCCAGCAGGGAGAAGGGGACAATGCAGAAACCATGAGAGGGGACACACGTGCAAAGGGGATGGGCCGTGGTGCACCAGGAGGGAAGGTGGCGCCTGGGGGTGCAGGTGTGCAGGGCAGGTAGACATGTTTGGAGCTTGTGACAGTTTCCTTCTGGTTGCTTCTACTTCCTGGGAAGCAGAATCATTAATTGAGAGTGAGGAGGAGGAAGGGCTGGAGGCTTAAGGAAGAAGGAAGGAAGGGAAGTTTTCTCCATGAGAGGGAGAGAGGAAATGGACCATCCCATGAAGTACATGCATCAGTGACTTGAAGGTCTCTGTTTAGAGTCCGCAGTTTTATCTAACCACTTCAGGGTAGGGGTGAATAAGAGGGAGATGAGGACCTGAGGGGCAAGTGAGGCAGTGAGCAGGTGGTGGGGTCAAGGCACTGGGACCCTCGGATGGGAGGGAGGTCAGTAATTGTTGGAGTTGGGGGCTCATGGGAGTGAGCTGGAAGGCTGGAACGTGCATCATGGAGCAGAAGCAAGAGACAGATGGGGGATGTGGTTATTGGTAAGACCGTGAATGGAGGTGGCTCCGGTTGGGTGGGAGTAGGATAATATTCAAAATACTTAAGCAACTAGTAAAGCCATGCGAATTAATACAAGAGACACAACTGAAACGTTTGCTTTTATTTCCTCTATATGTCAAGTATATAAGGGTACTTCAAAGAGTTTGTGGAAAACTGGAATTAAAGTACGAATTGATTTCAGTACAAAAAATTGTGAAATCCATCATAGCTGTTTCATAGTGTGCATTTCCACGAACTTTTTGAGGACTCCCCATATATTAAGAAACTGCCTATTAAGTTAAAAGTTGAAGGGCAAATGATTCATCAAATTATTCTAATAAGGCCCAAATGATTGGTTAGTTTTTATAAATTATTGGTGTGGTCTTTCGATGGTGAGGCTGTTACGAGCTGAATGATGGCTCTGTCTAGACCGCAGTTTGACACAGGGAGCCATAACAGATGCTTCCAAAATTGCGCTCTCGGAGTGGGAGTCATCTTGTCTCAGCGAGGACAGAATTTTCTCCTAACTTGTCTGCTGCTGTTCAATTGCAGGACCTCTCGGTGAGATGGACTCTCAGTGCTCAGGGGCCCCAGCAAGCCAGGGCCAGGGAGAAGCCTGTGTCCCAGTCCCTCTCTTCTCTCTGTCCCCTCAGAGCCGGCTGGGACAGCAGGATTTCAGTAGTTAACAACCAGTGAGGTGGAACCAGCACCTGTTTGGGGGTGTGGGGTGAAGGCCAGGTGCTGAGGGGCTGCTTGGCTGGTTGTGGAGTCTCCGAGATGCCCCAGGAGTACCACTGGAGGACGAGGCAGCGAGCCAGCAGGAAGCTTCTCTAAGAGTCGGGGAGTGACTGGGAGTCGATGA